GAGTCGTGGCCACCATTTTGTTTTCCAAAATGGCGGCCGTGACTAGTTTGTGCATGCACCGAATACTGCGCATGTGCAAACGAGTCGCGGCTGCCATTTTGTTTTCCAAAATGGTGCCCGTGACTCATTCATGCATGCGTTGGAGTACTGCACATGTGCAAACGAGCCCGCGCGCGCGGCGGCAGGCAGCAGCGACAGAACTGGCCTGGGGCCGGTCCAAAGGCCTCGGGGGGCTGGATCTGGCCCCCAGGCCGTAGGTTGCTGACCCCTGGTCTAAGTCATGTCATCTTGGCTTCTAGGGTTATCTCTGGCTTGATCTGTTCTAGGACCCATTTATTTGACCTTTTGGCTGTCCATGGAATCCTGAACACTCCTCTAATATTCTTATCTTAATGGGTGTGTGTGTGCTTATATGTATCCTCATTGTTATGTTTTAATACTTCTAAACTCTTTTATGTTAGGGCATTTAACAGTTTTTAATTTGTTTTTTTATTATCAGGATACGTTTCTAGTTATATTTTGTTTCAGTCTTTGTGGTAACCCATGTTGTGATCTGCCTTGGGTCCCATAATGGAAGAAAGGAGGTTATAAACAAAATAAAATAATTACCTTTTCCTCCTGCATTGGTGTGTGTCTGATTCTCCAATAATGCCTCTGGTTGTTCTGACCACAGCTTATAGTTAGGGTTGCTGAGGAATCGTTTAGTGAGACCACAGTTGAGACACTGCACAGAAGTCCACCGCTGATTTCGGCGTTCTAGTTACAGAAATGAGAAGGGAAAGAAATCAGGAAACCCTGGAAATTTTACGAGATCCCCCTTCTCTGCCTTGATCATTCTTTTCTTCCAGTTCTTGAGATGAACCTCAAGGTCAGTTCTGTAACATTTTCATGCCCAGCCTTGCTTTAGAGATTCTCTGTCCAAGACAACCTAATAATCCTTTTACATACAGAATCTGAACATTTCTGGAGGAACAGGAGGTAGCCACAGAACCTACAAGAGGGAAAACCAAAGGCAGGGAGAGAAAGGATGTCCTTTACATCCCTAGTATGCCAACCACAACTAGTTCATTGCTCTACTGTCAGCTAAAACACTAATGTCCAAAACACACTGCAGAAATAATCCAATTTGTCACCACGTTAACTGTCCTGGCTCAGTGCTAGGGAATCTTGGGAATTGTAGTTTGCTGTGGCACAAGAGCTCTCTGACAGAGAAGGCTAAATGTTTCACAAAACTACAGTTCCCAGAATTCCATAGCACTGAGCCAGGGCAGTTAAAGCAGTGTCAAACTGGAATATTCCTGCTGTGTGTTTTGGCATTATGTTTCTGAAGCGGGCATAGCCCTATGTTCAAGAGAAGAAAATAACAGCCTAAATGGGAATATCACACTCACCTGTCAGAGCGGGGGCTCAATCAAAAGTTACTCAGAAGTGCCTTTAGACCTTTCTGGAATTGTGTGAGGAAAACTGAAGAAAAACTACTAGGCTTTGGCTAGGAGAAGCAGTTTTGGGGATCCTGAAAGGCCAATGCTTTTGGCAACATTTCCTGACCTTGTGGTTGTCAACTGTGTTGGACTTCCACTCTCATCTTCTCCCACTAAAAATGGCCACTGTCTGCTTCTGCAGCAAGCACGAACTGCCTGTATACTTGTATCTGTGCTTACCACAATGCTTGTTGTTGTTGTTGTTGTGTTGTTGTTGTATGCCTTCAAATAATTTCTGACTTATGATGACCCTATGGCCTATCATGGGGTTTTCTTGGCTAGATTTGTTTAGAGGGATTTTTGCCTTTGTCTGAGGCTAAGAGCATGTGACTGGCACAAGGTCATCCAGTGGGTTTCCATGGCTAAGCAGGGATCTGAACACCAGTCTTCTAAGATACTACACCACACTGGCTCTAATGCTTGCTAAGTCTATCCATTTGTAAATAGTAATGCTGAGAATAAGTAATAACTAAAAATAATAAATTATGTTGGCCATAGAGTGCTCTGAACTGCTACCTTGGATGCAGATCACTGATTTCACAGAACCATAGAATTACAGAGTTGGAAGAGACCCCAAGGCCCATCCAGTCCAAACCCCTGCCATGCGGGAACACAGAATCAAAGCTCCCTCAACATATGGCCATCCAGCCTCTATTTAAAATCCTCCAAATAATGATACTCCACACTCTCCAAGTGAGTGTGTTCCACTGTCAAACAGCTCTGTCAGGAAGTTCCTCCTAATGCTGAGATGGAATCTCTTTTACTGTAGCTTGCATCCATTGTTCCGGATCCTAGTCTCTGTAGCAGCAGAAAACAGGCTTGCTCCAGCCTCAACATGACACCCCTTCAAATATTTAAACAGGGCTATCATATCATCCTTTAACCTTCTTTTGCCTAGGCTAAACATACCCAGCTCCCTAAGTCTCTCCTCATAGGGCATGGTTTCCAGATCTTTCACCGTTTTGGTCGTCCTCCTCTGGACATGCTCCTCATTGTTATACTTCCCCAGTCTTCGAAATCTATTATGTTCTACCCTCAACTCTCTATGTA